GCTTAACCAACTGAGCCACCCAGGCGCCCCAGTGTGACTCCATTTTTAATATTCATTTTGCAAGCTGTGCCTTCCTCCTTAAGTACTTGATTCCTGCACCTTACAGATATGTTTAACCTTGAGCACATGTTCTAGTTCAGTGAGACTGCCTGGAGTTTTGTAGTCTGCCCCTTTAGCTGGCTCCCCAGCCTTCCACATTTTCAAATCTGCTCCAAATACTTCTCTGCATTAAAAATTCCGAATATATGGAACTTCTTCAGGTTGTTTTTTCCTTTATTCCCAGGGGGTCAAATAATCTGGCTCCTGATGCCCGAGTCCATCTTGAGCTCTCACTGCCTGGGTCTCTTTTTGTAAACTCTATAGCATAATACCTTGTGCACAATGCAGGAGCATGCCTTTCCCACTCACTCTGGAATCTCTCTGGTTAAGGGGAAATTATTTTGCACGGTTAACATTTAACAAGAAGCTATCATCTTAAGAACTTTGCCCACTTTTCTTGAAAAAACTGAGGTTAAGAGTATGTTGCTTTTTTGTTTTTTTCATTCATGGGATGTCTAAGAAGTAATAATGCAGGGAATCCAGTAATCTATTCTAAAATATAGGCCACATCAAAGCAATCAATATAAATGAGCAAATCCGTAATTAAAATACTAAAACGCATGCCCTCCTCAACAATCGGGAAGTATTAAAAGGGTGTAAGCCTCCCTCTCAGGATATCTCCACTTGCCTAAACGTCCCCCTGCCTACACGCCCTTACCTGGACAGCCTCACCACACCCTCGCTCACTTCTTCCTGGTCTCTGCTGAGGCATCATCTCCTCAAAGTAGCTTCCTGACTCCTCCGTCCCATCGTTCTCCATCCCCTTACCCCACCTTACTCTTCTTCCCGGCACTGATTACTCTCAAGCATTGCTTGTGTGTTCTCTGTCTGCCACACCAGAATGTGGCTCTGTGAGGGCAGGCACTTAGTTTTTCCCTGTTGTGTCCCCACCTCTTAGAACAGGGCTGGCCTGACCCAATATAGGCTCTCAGTGAATACTGTTGAAAGGGTGAGCGAATGTCCACTAAGGAGAAGTTACAGGAGGGCTACAAGAGAAATGCAGGCTTCCTTCCATGTGATAACATGAAGCCTACCTAGAAAGTCTAGTTCAGGGAGGGGAGAAGAGCCAGGAGCGTTGGCGGCTTCTCAGACCCCTCTCTCCAGGTAGGAGGAAGCGAGTTGAAGGACAACTGTGGAAACAAGAGTCAGTTGCCTGTAAGGGCTCTGAAAAGACCCTGAGGGAGGACCAGGTGCCCGCACCTCCCGCTCAGACTGAGGGACGAGGGGACTGGAGGGAAAGGAGACAGGGGAGAGGAGCTGGGCTTGGTGTGACTTTTCGAGAAGCCTCCATCCAGTCAGTGGGTGGGGTCTGACTATGAGACTACCAGAACACTGGGCCCAACTGGGCTTAAATGTGGGCTGCACTCTCCCCCAGTCTCAACAGGAAACAGGCAGCCCTTTCAGTGCTTGGGACCCCCCAAACCTAGAGCAGGTTCGAGATTCAGAAGTCCCTAAAAAGCAGGGTTCCCTCTTGTGTCAGCAGAGGAAAACTAGAGACAGAAAGGAATGACGAGCAGCAGCTAACACTGCCCAACTCTTTCTCCAAAAGAAATTTGTGCCAACAGTCACAAAAACTTCCTCTCCCATCCTTAGCTGACTTCAGAGATCACTGGGATGGCATACTGGTATGAGAGCAGTGCCAACCCCTTCATTTACCTGAGCAACTTTCCATTTCAGCCCAATTACTGTGTAGCACGGGAATAATTATGTGTATCATTAAATACGTCCAATTGACTCGGCTGTGTGTCTATTTGGCACAACACGAAAGCAGGGTCCCATGTTCCCAGCCCTCGTGGTCCTCAGCCTCACGAAGCCAACCTGTCGACTCACAGTGAGGAATTAAAATCATACATAAAAACAAAAGGACCACAAAACCCAGGTGAGGGAAGTTTAGGGAAAGGTCTCCGGCTATGTTTGAGATCAGCCAGCCAGGATCCTTCCACAAAAAAAGCTAACATTTGCTAAACATTTACCATGTGTTTAATAACTTTACACATATTAACTCAACCTTCGTCACAACCCTACTGGGTAGGTGCTGTTGATATTCCCGAAGCAAGATGTAAGTAAGGTGGGCGCCTGGGTGGCTCAGTTGGTTAAGCCACTGCCTTCGGCTCAGGTCATGATCCTGGAGTCCCTGGATCGAGTCCCGCATCGGGCTTCCTGCTCGGCAGGGAGTCTGCTTCGTCCTCTGACCCTATCCCCTCTCGTGTGTTCTGTCTCTCATTCTCTCTGTCTCAAATAAATAAATAAAATCTTTAAAAAAAAAAAAAAGATGTAAGTAAGGAAACAAATAATTGGCCGCAAGTCGGCTGGGTAGAAAATGGCAGAGCCAGGGCTGAAACCAGAAGCCACACGTCCAAGATAAAGACATTATAAATGTTGATCCTGTCCTGGAAGTACACCAACTAAATTGTAACTGCACCTTCCACCACTATTGAAAGGAAACTCACTCTAAAGAGCTCGAAGTAGGGAGTTGTAAGGGGAAGAAAAGTGATTGCACTGGTGCACAGTTCAGTGTGTGGGATGGTTTCGAGGTGCTTTTCTTACTGCGTGCCAGGTAGATCCAGCAGTGAGCTCGGATTTTTCCAGGAGGACCACATCTTTCATCCCCGCTTTGGCGAGGTGATAAGCCAGACTCACACCAACGCAGCCGCCTCCAATGATCACAGTTTCTGCTCTGTCTTTCCATCTTGTTTCTGCAGATAAGGGTGGGTTTTCTTCTCTGGAAGACAATTTTTGTTAACGGTAGTTTTACTAAGCTGTGGTAGCTATAGTTTTTCTGACTAATGTGTTTCTCCTGGTTTCTCTAATATCTTAACAGTGCCTGGGAGGTTGGCATAGTGCTGCTTTAATCATTTGGGGCATCTAAACCCTGACTGATGCAACCTGGTTAGGGAAGGGAGGAGGAGGCATGTGAGCCCCAGTCCATATAATTCTGGTCCATTGTAGATAACTAATAGAACTAAAGAATTGAACATGACTTCTTTTTTTTTTTTTTTAATTTCCAAAGGATCTAGAGAATAATTTTTCTCAGTCTACTTAAAGAACACAGTTATAATCATTTTATCCCATGGAAAACCATAATCATCGTGAAGTCTAGCTTCTATAAACCTTGGATCATCCCCTCCATCCAACGCGTCCCAGGCTGAAGAGAGCCAGATGGAGTAAAATGCATTTCCTCACTTAATTTCCTCACCGCATAGTCTTCTCTCATTTTATAATTATTGCTCAGTGGTTTAATATATTTATTTGCATGACTTTCTTCCTAGCTGGATCGTGAGCTTCTCCAGGATGCATCGTAAAAAGCAAGATGTAAGTAAGGCAAAGAGGAACATACATACACCCCTGTTTGCTTACACACAGACAATCTCGGGGAAAAATACAGAAGACACTGTTAACACTTGACTGGGGAAAAATACGGGGGTAGGAATGGCTTCGCACTGGGAACCCTCTGACACTATTTCACTTTGTACGTGCGTGCATGTGAAAAAACACACAGAAATCTAGAAGAAATCCAAATGCCCATCTCTCGGAGGCCAAAGTGCCCCTGACCCGGCACACCGCCTCAGGCCCTGGCTCCCGTCCCGGCAGCCGCCCAGCCGTAAGCCTCTGCGCGGGCCGGACCCCACTTACCCTTGGCGGCCGCAGGCTGAGCGCGGGCGGCCCGGGGAGCCCCGCAGCGGGAGGCTCGGCAGCGGAAGGCCCCGCAGCCGCTGTGCGCCGGAGCGGAGCATGGCCAGGCCTGGGGGGCCGAGGGCGCGGGCGCGGGCACCTGCTCCGGGCCAGCCCACACCCTGGGGCGGCGGGGCAGGCGGCTCCGCGGAGCGGGGGACTCTCCCCCGGGCGAGGGGCGGGCTCGAGGGCTGGCGCGCTCTCCCGGACCCGGCGCCCACAGGGTCGCGGCGCGATGGCACAGGTCGGAGGCCCCGGGGCCAAAAAGGTGAGTTTCCGGGCGTCCGCGAGGTATTTAGCCCCGCTGGCCGCGGGGCTCCCACGGCCTGGAGTTCAAACCCCACTTCAGCCGTTGGCCGAGCTCTGCGGCCTCGGCCGGGCACCCGGACGGCTCTGCGCCTCGGTTTCCGCGGCCGCCAGGGGCCCGGGATGACAATACCACCTTGGCGACAGGATTAGATAACAATCTCGGGTAACATTTATGGAGCCCTGACCCAGTGCCCCGAGCTGCGCAGACTGCTTTACGCAAATTATCTCATTTTCATGATTATTCCCACTTTTCAGGTGAGGAAACTGAGGCCCAGAGAGTCAGGCAACTAGCTCAAGGTCACCCATTCTAGGCCACGGTGAAGCGGGGATTTGAAGTCTAGCTTCGGATTCCGGGGCCATGCTCACATTTCTACCGTTAACCCACAGACACCGTCAGGTCTTCGGCTCAACTGGCCCCAGAGCTCGGTTCCCTCAGGTTTTGGGAAGAGGGGCAGCCTGGCCCTGCAAGCGGTGGGCTAGCCTGAAACCAGCCCTGGGTGCAGACCCTCCCCGACCCGAGGCTGTGGAGAAGGGGTGGATAGGGAAGTGCGCAGGTCTGAGGGGTGCGCAGGGTGGGGTGGAGCGACTCAGCCTCCTCTCATCAATCAGCCAGGTCTCCCTGGCTCCTTCTCTAAGCTTCGTTCCCCATCTACTCACCAACTGTGAGCCTTGTCACCCCCCTCCCCCGCCCCGTTTCTCTGCTGGGTGTGTGCTTGTGAGGAGAAGGGGTGACAAAACAAAATTAGGAAAGGCATGAACTTGGTCGCAGGACATCTCCAGGATCCCTCAAAGCAACCCACCTGTGCCCCGAAATTCAGAGAGGGTGGGGAAGGGAGATGCTATATAGACATGGAAATGTGCACCACTGATCTATTTATACTAAAAAGTTAGGAACAACCAAGATGCCCAACGATGGTGGGCTCCTTAAATAAAGGTGCACCCACTTAATAAGTTATTAGGCACCGATTAAGAAGCTAAGTATGGGACAAGCAAACTGCTTTGGCAATGTTACCTTATAAAAGGAGTTATACTATGTCATGGACAGATCTCAGCTATGTAAAAATATTTATATATGCAGTGTAAGGAAGGAAATAATAACGGTAATAATTACATAAGATGTACAATATGGATTTAACAACAAAAAAATCTTTGGATATGTCTTTCTGATTATAACAGTAAAATATGGGCATTGAAGAAAATGAGCTTAATAAAAACATAAAGCCATTGTGCTGATTTCTTCCTCTAAACTTTCTGTAATACTGTGTTCACCGTTAGCTCATTTTTAAAAAGGTTTTTAAAATATGCTGTCCCTGTCCAGTTTCTTCCCAGCAGCCTCTGCTCTTGCAACACCAAGATTATCATATGATAACCCATGCTAATGTGTGCCTGAGAGTTAAAATGTTAGTGGGAAACAGCTAATCTCACCTCTCCTGTCAGCTAACAGGTACATCTTAAGAATTCATTTAATTGCCACAGGGGATAACTCCAGTAGCCTCATAAATCCACAAGAGCAGTCCTGGTGGCAGCTTCAGGCAGAATGGATGTCTGGCAGACTCCGGCCAGAGGGTGAAGTTGGTCTGCTCCTCTGTGTATGAATAGAGGCGCCCGGAAGCCAGACCTTAAATCCAGAAGTCTAGATACTGAGATCTGCAAAAAGGAAGCATAAATGACTCTCGGAGCTCACTACCAGCTCCAAGGCAGATTCACTGCCAAACTGAAAGGGAGAATGGAATGAAAATATAAATGTACTGCAAATTAATTTACAGTGATCTGTATTTTCCAGTTCTCTCTCATCCTAGAGCTGTCTTTAGATCATCCTGGTGTAGTAATTAATTGAGGTGGTAAGTAAAGCAGTGAAGGAGGGGCTGATAAATGCTCTGAATTCAAATCTTGATGATGGAGTTATTTTGCTAAGGTCTGTTTAGAAAACTGGCAAAATTTAAAATTTTGGACAAACATCTAGGTAACAGATCAAAATGTCTTAACTTTACTTGTTATCACGAAGATACAATCAAAATAAGCCCTGTAATTTTCTTAAAACCCTAGCTACTAGCTAAAGAGTCATTTGTCACCTGAGCCTCAAGCATTGTAAAGCCAAACAGAGGAGACAAGCAGGTAACCAGATACCACAGTACAAGTGACAGATGCAGGAATGGACGGTGTTTGGCCTTAGGCAAAACGCAAAGGAGGATGTAATCCCAAACAAGAGTAGGTCAGGCAAGACTTCACTCTGCAGCAATGGAAGATATGCCGGGGTGGGCTGGGGCGAACTGGAGGCCATTTCAACAATCCAGGGGCAGTGAGGAAGGGAGGGGGGACATTCCTGAGAAGTGTTAAAAGATACACTTGTCATAACCCTGGGACAGATTGGATGTAGGAGGTGAGATACTATCCTATAACACCCCGACTGTATGCCAGTGTTTTTCCCCTCTAAAACTAAATTTGATTCTTAACATGGTTGAGTTCATTGAAGTGCTAGATTTTCAAGACGACATTTTATGCAAATGACTCTACCTCTGATTCTCTCTTCTATAGTCCTCTGCAGCATTTATTTATCACATGTGTTGTGATGACTTGTTGACCCACTGGCCTTCTCCAAGGTGGCCAGACTTTGGGTTTCTTGGGGGCAGGGACCTCGTCTTATTCCAATGTTTATCCCTCTTGCCTAGAACTGTACCTGGCAGGTGGAAAGGTCTCGTGAGAGTTTAAAGTTGAAGTCCTTTTTATGTTTCAAAAGTACAAAATTAAAAGGGCAAATTGCATTGTATGGAGGGAATAGAGGAAAAGGTGAGAATCATAATAAATATTAACATTTCTTCTACATTCAGCTAAAATTCATTTTTAGATATAAAGTACGGAAAAATAACCAGAGTCGGGAGCCCTCTTGGTCAAAACAGTGTCTATGGCTCACCCAGCTAACACAGCTGGTCTCCATTCCACTTCCAAATACCAGAGACGTTGTAGATACGGTGGCCTCCAGTACAAGCCCTTCTAATGTACCTTCCTGGACTGCAGACTGGTTAGAAGGAGCAACTAGATGCTTTTCTCCCCCACTCATGCATTGCTCTGTGTCCAGCTGTGGACAGCGCTGAAATGAACTGGCCTTGGTTTTCAATAAAAGGTTATGTCTTTAACTAAGGCCATCTATACAAGAGGAGTGGGGATTGCCATGGGAGTGTTTGCAGTTTCTTTATAGGATGGTCAGCAAAGCTCTCCGTGAAAAGATGACCCTTGACCAAAGTCCTGAAGGAAGTGAGAGGGTGACCCAAGCAGGTATGCAGGGGTAGGCATGTTTTAGACAGTGGAAACCGTAAGTCCTTGGAGAACTGCTCTGGCTACAACCTTTTATTCAAGTATGGCTGGGCTGAATAGAGAAGTGGGACTAGAAAGAGACTAGTTTAGGAATTTAGAAGATCTGAAGTCTGCTTGTTTACTTACTTAGCTCTGTGATGTTGGACAAGTCACTTAGCCTCTCTGAATGTCCGTTTCCTCATTTATAAGATGGGCATAAAAACCGTCCACCCTGCCTAGCTTACAGAGTTGTCCGGAGTACCAAATGAAAACATGCATGTGAATATGTGAACGTGAACATCTGGAAAATGTAGGGCATCATTATGAAACTGTGTGTCCTTTAGGATTGTGTATAGTGGTTTACACAAAAAAGAGGCTTTTTTTTTTTTTCACTTAACATGAGGTCTTGCAATCCATGGCTGCTACAGCTACTCAAAGTTGTTATTAAAACACACACACACACACACACACACACACACACACCCCGCGGCTAGTTACACCAGCTGTTAGTCAGCTTTCAGTCCTGATTGCTATACCTCCAGGACTTATGGTGACATTCCAGAGAGGAAGGAGAAAAAAAAATGCCCAGATGGAAGGGAGTGCCCATCTATATCAGGAAAGCAGAACTTTTCCGGAAATCTTTAACTGACTTCCACCTATGTCTCATTGGCCAGCACCGTGTCATATGGCCACCCCCAGGAGCAAGGGAGCCCAAGGATTTGTTTTAACTTGGGGACATTGTCTCCCGAAATGAAATACATTAACAACTATCATGGCATCAGCACTTTCACTATAATTTGACTCAGATTAAATGTTATTTGAGAAAAAATATTCACAGCACTTTGCACAAAACGAATACCTGGAGTGTCCAAGAAGTAGAATATACTCAATCTTTCTGAAATATTATTAGACTTTGAGGATTTTAACAGAACTGGAGCTATAAGAACATAATACCACCTTTCCTGAAATTGGAAACTGCTTTTAGAAAAAAAAAGAAAAAGAGGTATGTAACCTAGGTGGTTTTTCTTTCTCTCGTTCAGGGTATTTTGGAACGTCTGGATAGTGGAGAGGTTGTGGTTGGAGATGGCAGCTTTCTCATAACTCTGGAGAAGAGGGGCTATGTGAAGGCTGGGCTCTGGACTCCGGAAGCAGTGGTAGACCATCCCGATGCAGGTCAGTGGCAGCATCCCCCGAGACTGTCTAGTTTAGAGGGTGACAGTTTGCTCAAATCTGACTGACAGAAAGTAAATAAATAATTCTGAGCATTGTGCAAGGACTGTTTCACTTGCCAGAGTCGCCAAGATGTAGAAACAGTGACAGTACATAGGCTGAAGCATGTAGAAGAAAATGGCCTCTCCCTCCCCAACTGCCCCCCCTCCACACACACACACTTGCATCTTCAGGTACAGGGAGTGCTAAAACACACATCTTAATATCTGTTCCATGAATATTCACCCTGTGGATATTCAAGAGTTTCCTTAACATAGTAAAACTGTTACTGCTTCACTTTAATCCTTCTGGCTAATTTGCATATTATACTATAACAGCGTGTTTGGTAAAGAGGATTAATGATAACCGCCAGATTAACACAGCATAGATGGTAGACATTTGGGTTTTGTTGGGCACAAGGGGTGTGAAGAAATCAACACAGTTTCACCTCATCCCCTGCACTAGAAAAAAAAAAACAATAAAAGTTGGAGGTAAAAACTGTGATGGGATTGGCAAGTAACATCAAACTGGACCTTTAATTCTATTTTTACTCTTTTTTGAGAGTAGTCTCCTAAATTAAAGTGGAAAATAGGGGCCCCTGGGTGGCTCAGTCATTAAGCGTCTGCCTTCGGCTCGGGTCATGATCCCAGGGTCCTGGGATCGAGCCCCACATCGGGCTCCAGCCCCGCATCGGGCTCCCTGCTCAGCGGAAAGCCTGCTTCTCCCTCTCCCACTCCCCCTGCTTGTGTTCCTGCTCCTGCTATCTCTCTCTCTCTGTCAAATAAATAAACAAAATCTTTAAAAAAAAAAAAGAAAGAAAGAAAGAAAGCGAAAGAATGAAAGGATACAAGCTGGGAATGGAACTTTGGATTTGCTCTGATTGTATTCATATATGCACCGGGTATCTGAGAAACCTGGGACCCTGTCTTGATTCTTCCACCCACCAGCTGTGTGACTTTGCACAAGTCATTTGACTTTCCCAAGGATCAGTTTCTTTTTTTTTTTTTTAAGATTTATTTATTTTTGAGCATGAGTGTGAGTGGGGGGAGGAGGAGAGAGAGAAGGACAAGCAGACTCTGCGCTGAGTGTGGAGCCCAACGCGGGACTCGATCTCACAACCTTGAGATCATGACCTGAGCCAAAACCAAGAGTCGGTTGCTCGACCGATGGAGCCACCCAGGCGCCCCAGGCTCAGGTTCTTGACCCATGTCACAGGAGGGTATGACATGGGCTAGTTGTGAGGACTCGTGAGTTAACCCACATGAAAATCCCAACACATCATACACACTGGCCAATTTTATTGCTTCATCAGACACTCAGACTTATATGGAAGGACCAAGTTTTGTTTCTCTGGTGCTTAGCACCAAGTCTTCACCTGGCCCACAGAGAACTTGTTCTTGTCTTTAATTTTAGAAGATCTTTTTGCTAAACCAGAAAGAAAGTGTTGAAATAACAAGGATGAGGATTGGGGTTGGGGAGAGATGAAGAGAGAGGAGGGAAGGATGTCCTGATAGGCCCACGGATGCTCCCTGACTGCGTCCCCCCAGCTGCCTGCTGTTGAATCTGTTTGGTGGGGGCACCACCCACACACACCTTGTCCACTGTGAGAATTTCCTCATGTAAGGATTTCCTGACTGTAAGTAGACCAGCTACATCCTCCACAACACAGGCAAATGAATAAACCTTCTCTAGACCAAAAGACCAAGGGGCAAGTGGTCAGCGAGACCTTAGTGTGTGCCTATGACTGCACCAGACCATTGAGGCCATGGACAGGACAATATGAGGACACTCGAAACAGTCCCAATTTAGTATTGACTCTGCCATGTCCTGTCCTGGAACTCTACTGACCTTAATCTGCAATTTTTTATAAGAACTAGGTTTGAAATTGTGTCTGATTGAAAGAGATTGTGAGTGGGTAAGCTGCTTTTGCTGCAAATGATAGCTCCTATGATTTTTATCTTTTTAATTTTGATTTAAAAAACTACTTTGTAGTTCGTCAACTTCACATAGAATTCTTGAGAGCAGGATCAAATGTCATGCAGACTTTCACCTTTGCTGCCAGTGAGGACAATATGGAAAGCAAGGTAAACTGTCATTTTGGTGGGGGTGGGGGTGGAGGGAGGGCAGGGGGAGTGTCAGGGATCATCTATAATAAAAATAACCTCTTGAAGGGAAGGTATGGAATTGACCTGATATGTTACTATACTTTGTTACAAACTCCACATAAAATGTGTATTAAGGAATTAATTATTATGTAAACAGATATATACTACATAAATGAGCTTGTTTCTGCCTCCTGAGCTGGGGTAGAGGGGAAGAGAGGACTGGGAAGGAATAGGCCATTGGAAGGACATGGTCATCCTGTGCTATTTTTTTATAGAGAAAGAACACTTTTTAGATGCCCTTTTCACCTTATCTCACCATCTTCTCTTCTAACTTGTCCATCTGGAGATAGGGTGGTCCTTGGGAACACATCACTGGCCTGGGAATGAGAAGAATCGGGTTTGATGCCAACTTTGCCACCTGCTGGGTGTGTGATTTTGTGCAAGACACTTGGCTGTGCGGAGCGCTGGTTTTCTTTGAGCAAAATGGAGATCATTTATGCTTAAATGCGTAGGGTTGTTGAGAAAAGTAGCGAAGGGGAAGAACGTGGAAGTACTGTGCAATATTGTGTACATGTAAAGTGTTCATACTTGTCGATGTTCATGCCCATTTATTCAGTCAACCAACCAACATTTATTGAGTACCTGTTAGAGTCCAATCTCTATGCTCAAAACAGAGGTGAAAGAGAGCCACAGAGCCTGTTCTGAAGTGGTTCACAGTCCAGTGAGGGAGGCAAACACAAACATTTACTAAAATGCCGTGTGGTGAGTACAATAATGGAAATACAAGCTCACTGGTAGTAAAGGAGAAGTCCCCAATGCTGCTGGTCTTCTCAGATTGCAGGGGTTTTTTTTTTGTTTTTTTTGTTTTAAAGATTTTATTTATTTATTTGAGACAGAGAGAATGAGAGAGAGAGAGCACATGAGAGGGGGGAGGGTCAGAGGGAAAAGCAGGCTCCCCGCCGAGCAGGGAGCCCGATGCGGGACTCGATCCCGGGACTCCAGGATCATGACCTGAGCCGAAGGCAGTCGCTTAACCAACTGAGCCACCCAGGCGCCCCACAGGGTTTTTTTTTTAAATTTTATTTTATTTCAATTCAATGAATTAACATAGAGTATATTATTAGTTTCAGAGGTAGAGGTCAGTGATCCATCGGTTGCATATGACACCCAGTGCCCATCCCATCACGTGTTCTCCTTCATGTCCATCACCCAGTTATCCCCAGCCCCCCTCAAACTGCAGTTTAAACCATGACTGGGACTCATCTTACTTGATCATTGCCCTTGTTATCTGTTATATTTTACCGGGAAAATGCCGGGCTCACCGTCTGAACTCTTGCTCTCTGACCTCAGTGGAAAGCTGTGAACGCTGCTGCCTGTGACCTTGCCAGGGAAGTGGCTGGCAAGGGTGATGCTCTGGTAGCTGGGGGGATCTGCCAGACATCAGTGTACAAACACCACAAGGATGAAGCCACAGTTAAAAAACTCTTTCAACTCTAGCTAGAGGTTTTTACAAAGAAAAATGTGGACTTCTTGATCGCAGAGGTAAGCCTAGTATTTTAGGGGAGGGAGTCATTCTCTTCGGACAAATCCCACTACATAATCTTCAGCTTTCACGAGGGTATTTGGGATTGCTTTGTGCCCTGATTTCCTCAGGGTACAGGGTCAGAGGTTTATGTACCCGCATGCCATCAAGGCAACAATGCTCTCACTTGCATGCTGGGTTTTAGTGAAGCCAAAGGGCAGAGCCAGGAGTGGCCTGACCCTAGCCTTGGCTGTCTTTGGGTGGTTGTAGCAGCCGACTCACAGGGGACCCTACAATGCTGGGTGAGAAGGGGACGGTGCTTCAGGGAGCAACCTCTCCTGTGGGAGGGGCAGGGCTGGAAGGAGCTGTGCGGGAGCTGGAGGCTGTGAGTGAGCAAAGCTCAGGCTCATGCAGGCCCCGCTAATAATACTCAGTAACAAGAGGTTTCCTTGCCCTCTGCTGTCCATGCTCTGCTCACTCCCAACCCCCTGCTTTCACTCAAGCTATAAAAGGTGAGTGATATTTTGAAGAAAGAGTAAGAATTGGTCGTTGATTGGACGCGAAGGCCCAGAACATTCTCTTCCTTCCACTTCCAAAAATTTAAAAGCCCTCATTCCCCATTTCCCACCTTTGCTACCACCTGGAGTCAAGCTCTCAGCCCAAGTCTCTACACCCAACGAGGACAATAGCCTCCCCGCTGCTGTTTCCCTTATCACTCTCTGAATCTATTGAAAAGCTTGCTTCATCAACCTTCCCAAGGTCCAGGGCCACCCAAGCCTGGCAGACGCACTTAGCAACAATCATCTGCAGAGATGGGCACAAACTCTACCCGATAGGCTCTCCAGACAGATGGAACACAAGTTTGTTTTGTAAGAACCTCTCTGTGGACTCTCTCTGCCATTCCTCACACACTGCTTCTGCAGAATCTAAGTCAAGAAGGAAGAACACAGGGAGATTTTTGCTGGTTTTTCTTCATTTACTTAAGGTCAGCTTTTCAATTGTGGCCCTTAAGGGGGTTCCTGGGAAGACTGCTGCAAATGAAAGAAACTGAGTAGCTCTTCCCCGCCCCAGCTCTGTGCCGCAGTGGTCTCATTGGGGGAAACCATCATATTTCTCCTACTTCATGGAGCATTTCTGAACACCTAACGAGAAGTGAATATAAAATCACTTTGCCTCAAAAAAGTGAAAAAAAAAACCACTTTGAAGTAGAAAGTATAATAAACTATTCATTATTTTTCAGAGATTACCCCAGCTCCATAAAAGATGAGCCTAAAATTTATTAGTAAGGGGCGCCTGGGTGGCTCAGTCGGTTAAGTGTCCAATTCAGTTTCCACTCGGGTTGTGATCTCAGAGTCGTGAGATCCAGCCCCACATCGGGTTACACTCTCAGTGGGGAGTGTGCTTGGGATTCTCTCTCTCTCTTGCCCTTTATCCCTCCCCCTACTCACGTGTGCTCTCTCTCTCTCTCAAATAAATAAATCTTTTTTTTAAAAGATTTTATTTATTTATTTGAGAGAGAGAGAGAGAATGAGAGAGAGCGTGAGGGGGGGAGGGTCAGAGGGAGAAGCAGACTCCCCGCGGAGCAGGGAGCCCGACGTGGGACTCGATCCCGGGACTCCAGGATCATGACCCGAGCCGAAGGCAGTCGCTCAACCAACTGAGCCACCCAGGTGCCCTCAAATAAATAAATCTTTAAAAAAAATAAAATTCATTAGTAAAACTTTCATTCCTGGGGCACCTAGGTGGCTCAGTAGGTTAAGCGTCTGCCTTCAGCTCAGGTCACGATCCCAGAGTCCTGGGATCGAACAGTCATCATCTTGCTGAATCGATGATTTCTGAATGAAAATCTATATATTATTGTTAAAGGAATTAAAATGTTTACTCAAAAAAGTATTCTTTAGTTTGCTAAAGACCTGTTCCTCAGCAAGTTTTACCACATATACTTGGTCATTTTTATAACTGTTCTGCAACATTTGCATTCCACCTTTCAAAATCTGCTTTACATTTGGACCAATAGAAAAAATGAAATCTCTCTTAGTATTTTGAGCATGCTGAAGAAGCCATATGGGCTGTGGAAGTCTTAAAAGAATCGGGTAAACCTTTGGCAGCTACCATGTGCATAGGCCCGGATGGAGACATGTGTGGTGTGACACCTGGAGAATGTGCTGTTAAGCTGGTGAAGGCAGGTAATTGGGACCCATAATGTGATCAGCATAAATTTCATATTGTTTATGAAATTTAACAAAGATTGCTTAATCTTGTGAGAGCAGTTCAGCAATAGAAGAATTAACTGGCATTGGTTTTCCTCTTGGTAAAACTTGGGAGGTGGAGAAGGGTAACTAATCTCTAAGGCAATTTCCAACTATTAAAAAATAAAATAAGCAAAATGTAAAAGCTCTTTATTTCTTTGCCCAGGGGCTGCAATCGTGGGTGTGAACTGCCGCTTCGGGCCCAGCACCAGCTTGAAGACAATGAGGCTCATGAAGGAGGGCCTACAGGCCGCGGGGTTGAAGGCGCACCTGATGATGCAGTCCCTGGGCTTCCACACCCCTGACTGTGGCAAAGGCGGGTTTGTGGATCTCCCAGAATATCCCTGTGGTAAGCTCAGGGTGTAGGAGCAGGCTTCGCGTTTTCTTATGCTGACAACATGGAAACAGCTGTAATGAACAGCTACGGTACGGTCTTAGAAAAGGAGACTGCGTAAGACAAAACCAGTCAGTGTTAATGAAAAAATGAGTATAATCTAAAGTTCATCATGTTTTAATTTTAAAAAGTGCTCCAGGGCGCCTGGGTGGCTCAGATGGTTAAGCGTCTGCCTTCGGCTCAGGTCATGATCCCAGGGTCCTGGGATC